GTTCCTCCATGAATCTACATCAACCTGGACCCTGTAAAAGTAAAACCATCTTGGCTGCAGGTGGCTACAGCCGTAAAACTGTAAAACTGTTCTTGTAATGCACTAACCAGTCTGTGCTCTGGGGTCAAACGTGTGCCGGCTCCAGCTAAAGACACCAACATCTGTTTAACCCAAGAGCCCAAGCTATTGTGCAAGTTACTGGGCTTTAGGGGGGGGGGGGGGGGGGGGGGGGGGGGGGGGGGGCTGCTGATCACCCCCATTGATCCAGGCTCACTCCACTCAATTAGATCAATGGGACATCTTTAGGCCTCCTTAGCCATGTGTCCGCCTGCTCCTCCACCTCACTGCCACATCCCGGCACAGATGGAGACTCCAAGCAATCTGTAACTAATGAACCAAGATGGAGGATTTGTTTTTGAGGCCGAGCAAAAGAAGAATGAGACGTTGTAAAAATTCCCACTTGGAGAAATGTGAAGAAAAGTGAAAAGCATGGTGTGTGTTTGACTCCAGACTGTGGGACTTTTGTATTGGCAGGTTAAATGAGAACGATCAGGGCCCGGTATCGAATGCTGACGAATGTGTTTGTGCAATTATCTAGAAAGTAATGAATAGCCTCGTGAGTAACAATTAGCAAAGAAAGAGCTGGGAAAGGGATGAGGCAGAAGAGCGAGAGGTTCTGAGTTTGGATCCGTCGTTTAACAGACTGTATTTAAGGTCATGGGGAAGAAAAATCTCTCTTTTAGGAAAAACTCTTTTAGATGTTTTTGGTGAAAAAGGGAGGTTTATTTGTATAGCACAATTCATACACCAGGTAAGGATTTGATTATTGTCAGAGAAGAAGCCTGTCTCACATCTTCAGGAAGATTGTGACAGATTTTAGCAGCATGAATCTGAACTGCATCCTCCCCATGTTTAGTTCTGACTCTGGGACCAGCAGAAGGCCTGTCCCTGTGCTCCTCAGAGTCCCAGCAGAAGGCCTGTCCCTGTGCTCCTCAGAGTCCCAGCAGGAGGCCAGTCCCTGTGCTCCTCAGAGTCCCAGCAGGAGGCCAGTCCCTGTGCTCCTCAGAGTCCCAGCAGGAGGCCAGTCCCTGTGCTCCTCAGAGTCCCAGCAGGAGGCCAGTCCTTGTGCTCCGCAGAGTCCCAGCAGGAGGCCAGTCCCTGTGCTCCTCAGAGTCCCAGCAGGAGGCCAGTCCCTGTGCTCCTCAGAGTCCCAGCAGGAGGCCAGTCCCTGTGCTCCTCAAAGTCCCAGCAGGAGGCCAGTCCCTGTGCTCCTCAGAGTCCTAGCAGGAGGCCAGTCCCTGTGCTCCGCAGAGTCCCAGCAGGAGGCCAGTCCCTGTGCTCCTCAGAGTCCCAGCAGGAGGCCAGTCCCTGTGCTCCGCAGAGTCCCAACAGGAGGCCAGTCCCTGTGCTCCTCAGAGTCCGTGTTGGTTCATAAGGCACTAACATGACACTGATACAGTACTGATCTGAAAAGGGCCTTCCTGTGTGGAGTTTGCATGTTCTCCCCGTGTCGGGCGGCACGGTGGCTGAGTGGATAGCACTCTCGCCTCTCAGCAAGAAGGTCCTGGGTTCGATTCCCGGGCGGACAAGGGCCTTTCTGAGTGGAGTTTGCATGTTCTCCCCGTGTCTGCTCCGGTTTCCTTTGGGTGCTCCGGTTTCCCCTACCACTAAAAATATGTACAATAGTTCTGGCATGCGCCTCCTGTTCCGCGACCCCGCTCCCATCTCTGTGTGGAGTTAGTGGACAAGTGCCCAAAAATAATAACAATTGTAAACCGCTTTGTGACTCTGGTCTGTGAAAGGCGGTATATAAATAAAGATTACTTACTTACTTACTTCCTCCAGGCGCTCCGGTTTCCCCTACCACTAAAAACATGTACAATAGGTCTGAACGAGTAACGAGTGAACGACTGATGTGTGTGAACTATGTATGATTAGAAATGTACTGAATGTGTCTGTATTAGAGAGAATGTGTTGTATTGTTATTTTTTTAGGATTGTACATTACTGTATCCATGTATTTAATTGATGTAACCAGGGACTGCAGATGGAAACAGCTGTTTAGCTATAATCTGGTGCAGAACATATCTGTCTTTGAGCTTAATGTCTCTGTACACTGTCCCTTCAAATAAAGACTAAACTAAACTAAACTAATGGATGGTGTTGGTTGGGGGCTTTAGTCAGTGAAAAAATGGCTAAATAAATACAGTTTTTTTACTGACTGACTTACAAACCACATTAATTATTGGGAAAAGCAGACATTCAGGTACTTCAGATTTGGGATCCTCGATGGTCAAGTTTACTTTTTTCCCAACTCTCTTACAAAGAAGAATTCTGACCAACCCAACAAAGTCCGGACTGCCAAGGAGTGCGATAATGAGAGCCTTACAACACAGCCCACATGCCAACAGTGAAGTGCTGCTACCTCCCTGACCCCCCCCTCCCTCCCTCTCCATCCAGCCAGTGACGCACACCCTCCCACACACACACAAACACACACAACACACTCCCAGGCTCACATATTTTGGGCCCCCGCATGGCCGAGACCCGATGCCCGGACCCTGGGAGACTGCCTCCCTCCCCTATCCGCCTATACTGACCCCCTCCGAGTAGGACCATTGTTTACTTTCACTCTCCTCCACGGCCCTGCTGGTCTGGGGGGCCGGCCAATCGTTACATTATTGTCTGGTCGTCCCTCCGTAACCCCCCCACGCAACCTCCCCTCACCCCCCCTTCCGACCCAGGCTGACCCCATTCACGGTCCTCAAAAGCACCATCTGTATCAGGCAACAGTCAGTCATGGAGAAATGGAAGGAGAGAGAGAGCGAGCGAGGAGGGGAGAAAGGAGTTGACGGGTGAGGAAGGGTTGGGGGAGGTAGGGGAGGGGGGTGGGGAGGGGGTGGGGGAGGTAGGGGAGGGGGTGGGGAGGGGTGGCGGGGCATCTGCCTTGGGTTGAACGGCGAGGTCCGTCCCGAAGTATCTGTCACATAGTTTTCTCAGCAAAGGCTTCTCCTGCAGCGCGCCTTTCTTCCTACCCTCAGAATATTGATTTAGTTTTATTTTTTTACCACCTCCTTTTTAATAATGTTTTTACTCTCACCCGGGCTTTTAATCTTCGCTGCGCTTTCCCACTGTTTCCAAAGGTTCTGGAGGTTAGCGTTGGTGCGTTGGGTTAGTGTCTTACTTACTTTACATTCAAATGCTCTGGAAAATCTAAATCTGAATAAAAAATGGTATGGTCATTGCCATTTTCAGCCACAGGAAGTCACAAATTTGGTTAGAAAATAGCTAAAAAATAAAAAAATAAAAAATAGATTCCCAAAATCCCCAAAAAATTTTATTGATAAATACTGACAATATACTTCACTGACTTCAGAAGTTTTGGAAATGACCAGTTGACGAATCCAATGCTTTTTATATATTTTTACTTGACTGTGTTCTTGAGTTTTAAAAAAAAAAGCTGTGAAATTATTAATTATTATGAATGATGTTGTTGTGTATTGTGGTGTTGTCGTTAAGATGGCCAAAGGCGCCAAATTAGCACAAATACTATGATCTTATGAATCCAGAACACTTTCTATACAGCGGCCAGGCTTCTCCCACGCATTTCGGCACGGGCGGCACGGTGGCTGAGTGGATAGCACTCTCGCCTCTCAGCAAGAAGGTCCTGGGTTCGAATCCCGGTTGGACCAGGGTCTTTCTGAGTGGAGTTTGCATGTTCTCCCCGCGTCTGTGTAGGTTTCCTCCGGGTGCTCCGGTTTCCCCTACCACTAAAAATATGTACAATAGGTCTGGCATGTGCCTCCTGTACTGGCGACCCCACTCCCAAAAAAATAACAATTGTAAACCGCTTTGAGACTCCAATGTGCAGTGAAAAGGCGGTATATAAATAAAGATTACATTACATTTCGTAATTTCTTCATTTATCTCTGTTTTTGATCTTGGTCGTCCGCTCTTGTCTAAGTTTTGTCTGTTTCAAAATGTGTTCATTACAGACGACAAACTTTTATAAAATGGCCAAATAAAAACCATTTGAGATTTGTCACAAAAACATTATATTTGCAAATGTTCTCCGCGTGGAAACGTTCAAACTCCATGTGTCCAATAATTGTTGAATGTGTTTGATGATTGACTCCATCCATCCATTTTCTTCCACTTCATCCGTTGCCGGGTCGCAAACAGACTCTTCCAAGTTTAATTACACTACACTGAACAGAACAAAAACTAAACACAAAAATATGTAAGTATCGGCTTCAGCAAAACATCAAAACAAGATTTATTTTTTTACTTGTTGAACAGACTTTTTACATTTTTATAAAACTTGTGAAGAAGTGTTTATCCTTTAGAAGAAATGTCTAGTAGAAAAAAAGTATTTGGTTCTTCTTGATCAGGGACGTCAAAGTCAGATATATCAGAGGTCAAAGAAACACATTTGGAACTGGTTCAATGTTTATTAAATTAAAACATATAAACTGTTGAACCAAGACCTCACACAGTGGACCAATTCATCTAATTCATTTGTTTGGATTTGTCGGTCGTTTCAAGTGAAAACATTTCTCACAGGACAAAAACAAACTTCCTTCAAGGAGAAAACACACACGTCCTGATCAATAAATGAATCCAATATTTTCTTGTCTCTGTGCGGCCGGTTCTAAAACTAATCAAATATCATCCCGGGGCCGACACAGATCATTCTCGGGCCGCGTCTGGCTCTTGGGCCTGGACTTTGACACCCATCATCACAACAACGCTAACCTATCGTCTGGTGTAGGAGAACCCAGTACTTTACCCCCTGGACTGCTTCTTCCCAGAAAGACCAGACAGAATATGACATTATTATTGTTGTTAAATACAAAAACACAGATTACTCCACGCAGCAACGTCGTGACTGCCTTGTCCCGCCTCTGACGCCAAGTTACCCGGGATTAGTTCACCTTAATCGTAATCCCAGAGCCAAGTTGACGTGAGCATGTCTCAAGAGTCCTCAGTCTACATCCCTTGTTACTGTTCCCTTGACCTGCTTCTTGGGCTCTCTGTCACCGCGGTCCATCCTTCTCCCAGGACCCCCACCCTCCACCCTCCACCCCACCACACCCCACCCTCCACTCCACATCGCTCATCCCGCCGCAGTGCCGTCAGGAGCAGCAGCATTCCATTCCAGGGCCTCTTGCACGGCTTGCATGTGTGAGGAAGGCGGATTTTTCCCATGGGGCCCGCAGGTGAAAACTGGGACTCGCCGTGTCCAACCGAGGGACGCCATCTGTCCCCGTCCCGCTGCACTGGCTGGAGGGGAGGCCCGCAACCCCTCCTGCTGCTCTCTCTCTCTCTCTCTACGACCTCCACCACCACCGCCGCCCCCTCCACCCCCTCCACCCCATCCATCTATCCAGCACTACCCTCGCCACGTTGACAACAGAACTCAGACCACATTTAAGTGACCAAACTTCATTTCCCCCCAAACGAGTCGGAGAGAGCTTGTGCCGCAGACCGTCCCGGGGCAGAGTTTGGGACCAGGATGTTAAAGAATTGTCGGGTAACTTTGCCGCATATCGTTTCGGTTGAATATTTGATTTTCAGACATCTGTTGCTCATATATTATTAGTCCCCAGAGTGCAAATAAATACAGCCGACGTGGTAAAATGAGGTGAAATATTGTGGTTTTAAAGTTGAGGAGGGGGGAATGAACTATAATAAAAAAATATTTCGGTTTCTTCAGTTTTAGCGTTATCATTTAGAATTTTTTTTGTCTCCGTCACATTTTTAGATCCGTTTTTAGACACAGAAACGTGATAAACAGACACTACTCCTGCTCAGCCAATCAGCTCTCAGCCCAAAGCGTCAAATAGTGACTCCCAGGGCTCTTGCAATTGATGATTCTAATAAGATTTAATTCTGTTGGAACAAACACATATTCATGAAGTCAAAAGAGAGGTACCCCACCTTTGAAAATGACCAAAATAACGACAAGACTTATTCATATTTCAGTATTTCTTCCTTGAGTGTATTTAATTCTGAGGGTGTTTTATATACGCTATTTTTATTATTTATTATTATTATTACTATTAATCAGGACACAGTATGATATGGTCCGTGCATAAATAGGTTCATAAAAAGGTCCTTTTCCTTTGTGCAATCACTATCGTTCTCTGTCTAAGACTTACAAGCAGATTATAATCATTCTCTAAATATTTACAGCTATTTTTTGATTCATTTTAGGACGATTATTTGAGTATCTTTTTAAGTCCTGTGATACACAATGAGACTGACATTTATCATGCACTGAGGGACTCGTATCAAGCTTAAAAAACAAAATACACAACAACTAATTGATCATGTGCTTTGCCTTTTCTGGAGATAATCAGCAAAATAGACTCATTGAATGCCAGCCTATTTCAGAACAGGTACTCCCACAGTGCCAGCCATTTATAATGATTTTTACTGATTTTTCAAGACCCACAGAATATTGTGTACTATGACTATCTGAAATCTGACACCAGATTCTAAAAGAATGGACTGTCTTTGGACTACTTTCCTGAGCAAAAAGAATTTTGTTCATAGCTTTTTTCGTTCCCCTGTAATCCTCCGTCGAGTAGAGGGAAGTTTTACTGAAATCACCAGAAATCACCAGAAAGTTGAGAAAAAAGATCAGATCAGATTCAGATTCATTTATTTGCCATTTGCAGTAAAACCACATTGGAAAAACTGTGCAAGACTACCCCGGTGTGCACCAGACGACACACACCAGAGCTCTTGCCACGGCGCCATCTTTACGGCGCCATGCGAGGCACAACATGTGCACCTACATGTTTTCAAACCATTCAGAGAGAAATGCTGCCACCTGCTGGCTCGATAAAATATGGTCTCAAGTCATCCCCATACATATTAGATACAATAAACATCTGGGAACGTGAAAATAGCGAAAAAGGCATTTGACGTATTAATGCGTCGATGGCACACGACGTTACTATTTGCTTTGACGTATTTGTGCGTCAATGGGACACAATGAGTTAATTCAAGCCAAGAATAGATCTAGAGAGACACGGACAGAAAGACTGAACTTTAATGTTGTTTGTGGAACGATAAACCAAAACAAATTCTTTGCGGGAAGTTAGTTTTCTGTGTTTCTTTTCACAAATGGTCAAATAAAAGGTATTTCTCTGTCACCACGGCGAGAAAATATATAGTACCTCATGTATCTATCTGTCTATCTGTAAACAGTCGAGACCTTACTCCCAGTTTTACAAATGCATTTTGGATTCCCACCTTGCTTCAGATTCCCGCATAATTTCGCCTGTTATTATTATTATTATTATTATTATTATTATGACATATACATTCGTCTGATACTGCTGTCATTCACTCGTCCCTTTACTTTATTTACGTCCCTAAGACAAGAGCACACAAAGGCCGTTAATGATCACGGCAAAATGCTTAAACAGATGTGTGTGTGTGTGTGTGTGAAAGTGAGTGGATGTTTATGTAAGTTACATTTTTTTTTAGTATTATTTGTTTTGTTGTATTCTGTGTTCTGTTTTTGTGTTTTTAATGTAATAATTTCTGTTTTTCACATGTGACGCCAAGGAGCAAAATGTTTTTTTTCAAAATGTATGTGAGACAACGACTCCAGGAAGAATAGCTGTTTTTATACAGCTAATGGAGATCGTAATAAATACAAATACAAATACAAATACTTACTGCTTTTATTACTATTATTTATTCTGCTCATATTCTCTGCTGCTAAAGTACAACCTACACATGTATTTACCTCCGAACCATATTGGATCATATTTTTACTTATGATTTTAATGTTATTATGTATTATCTTAACCCTTTAATGGTTTCCATAACCGTTTGGTGGATCACTTTTTGAGTCACTATATCTAAGCTTGGAACTGAAATCTACCGGATTGGGGCATCTTTTCTCTATCACTTGGTTTTAGGCACTTTTACCATCAACCTGCAGCTCAATGTTTGGAAAAGGCCTATAATGAAAACAATTACAGGTTAAGGAAAACAAAAGTGCCATTATTAGTGCTCCTACATTAGGTGTCTCCAACCTTTGTCACCCAGAGAGCTACTTTCCCGGGACGATAAAGGCAGAGAGCTACTTCTTTAAGCGCCTTTTGAAAAAAACATTGGTGGTATATTGGTGTGAAAGAGCCTGATTTTGGGTTTATCATCACATAATTGTTTCCAGTGCACAAATAAATAATGGTAATGAATGATACAGTCTGAAATATTAAGTATATTATTTGATTTGTTAATTTCTAAATCCTTTGGCGAGCTACCTGGAAGGGGGTGGCGAGCTACAGGTTGGACACCCCAGTCCTACATAGACTCTGATATGTGCAATCTGAGTTTCTTATTTCTTTTTTTCTGCTGTAATGAACCCAACAAAAACAAAACATTTCCAATCTTTGGGAAGAATAAAGGATTACCTCATTTATCTCATCTAATCTTACGACAATCCATTTCTCCTGTTTCACTACAGCGTCCATGTAAAAGTCCACTGCTGATTCAGCCCCAACACACTCCCCCCTCCCTCCCCTCCCTCCCACACTCTCCAGCTCCCTCAGTCCCGCCGCTTATTCCTACTCCGCCCCCCCCCCCCCTGCATGTGACCACGCCCACCCCCGCCCCTTCTCCAATCAATCATCCATACACGGCACCAGTGACAAAATTATTAAATTATCATACATTTGCGATGAGCTGAGTGCGACGCAGGGATACTGTTTTAATTGCCCGGCCGTGACCTCCAATTATGCACACCAGTGTATTAGTTTGATATTTGGGGCAAGAGAAAAGAACAGGCTTTGACATTTACAGACAGAGAGAGGAGACACGATTGTTTTAGTCATTGACAAAAGCAACAACTGCGACGGAGGGTTTTGGGAAATGGATTTTAGGGAAAAAAAGGGGGAAGGAGTTCAGAGACGCGCAACGTTTTCAGCGACCTCATTTGGTGTTGTTTTCCAGACTAGAAACAAACATGGAATAAAGTCCTGGTTTTGTTTGGAGTGACTTTTATGTAAACAGAGCGGATGTTTTTCTCTCTCTCATGGAAGAAAGAAAGTGTAGAGAATGAGAGTTGCGTAACGATTACAAATACACAAATATTAAACACAAAACATTACATTTGGTTTTAAAGGGCTGGACAAACAGCCCTTTATCTGTATTTTAAATGATATATATGGGTTGTATATGTGTCCGCAGAGACCAGAGACAGACCAGAGTGAGACCAGAGAGAGACTAGAGTGAGACCAGAGGGGACCAGAGTGACACCAGAGTGAGACCAGAGAGAGAGAGACCAGAGAGAGACCAGAGAGAGACCAGAGTGAGACCAGAGAGAGACAAGAGACAGACCAGAGTGAGACCAGAGTGAGACCTGAGAGAGACCAGAGTGAGACCAGAGTGACACCAGAGTGAGACCAGAAAGAGACCTGAGTGAGACCTGAGTGAGACCAGAGAGAGAGCGACCAGAGAGAGACCAGAGAGAGATCAGAGAGAGAGAACAGAGTGAGACCAGAGGGGACCAGAGTGACACCAGAGTGAGACCAGAGAGAGAGAGACCAGAGAGAGACCAGAGAGAGAGAGACCAGAGAGAGACCAGAGAGAGACCAGAGTGAGACCAGAGTGACACCAGAGTGAGACCAGAGAGAGAGAGACCAGAGAGAGACCAGAGAGAGACCAGAGTGAGACCAGAGAGAGACCACAGAGAGACCAGAGTGAGACCTGAGAGAGACCAGAGTGAGACCAAAGTGAGACCAGAGTGAGACCTGAGAGAGACCAGAGTGAGACCAGAGTGAGACCAGAGTGAGACCTGAGAGAGACCAGAGAGAGATCAGAGTGAGACCAGAGTGAGACCTGAGAGAGACCAGAGTGAGACCAGAGAGAGACAAGAGATAGACCAAAGTGAGACCAGAGTGAGACCTGAGAGAGACCAGAGTGAGACCAGAGTGAGACCTGAGAGAGAGACCTGAGAGAGACCAGAGTGAGACCAGAAAGAGACCTGAGTGAGACCAGAGAGAGACAAAAGGTAAAAATAGATAGGCAGTTTCAATAACAATAGTTTGAGGAGTGTCTGGTTATCACCATATTCTTATTTAAATATTTACTGACAACAAAAATACTGATTAAACCTATTTTGCTCAGAGAAGAGATGATGCCGCTCTCCTGTGCTGATGCCATCCTCATGTCAATAGTCATAACTCTTTTAAGTACATTCTCTGTAAGATAAGTCTAAGTTAGATGACCCAAATATTAAAAGATTATGCAATTAAGAAATCCTTCATCCGTCCCACAGTGGGGAAAGTTTGGCTTTGACCAACGAAAAAACCGTGTTTAATCTCAAGCGTGGCCTTTAGAGCAACAGATGAAGATAT